CTCCAACACGGGTCCCCAAAGAGCGAGGGCAAGGCCGGTGGACACCTCTCCAACACCACAGCGGCACATACACACGTCGGTAGCTATTGATGAAAAGAAAGACTTATTCACGGAGGTTATGGCACTTCTTCGCTTGGAGGCTATGGATGTTTCGCCTTCAGTGCAGACACGGTTGCAACTTCTTATTAACAGGAAAATAGGAATGCTGGAAGCGGAACTGCAGGCATATAGGGATACTTTGGACGATGTTTGCAGTAACATTAGTAGTGGATAATGAGGTTTTTGTATCATAGTAAGAGATATTCCACTTGCCTGGCTCTCTTTCCTGTGCTTTGCTGGCTACCCTGGTGGGTGATAAATAGTGAGTAGTCATGATTCGAGTGACAAGAGCTTACTCTAATTTTGTTGCCGCTAAACGGTTCGGAGGGCGTTGTCGGACCGCTTGAAATTCCTACGCAGATGCATGTTGAGTACGTCGAGAATGTCATCAAATACACCTCCCGATCAAGATCCCTGATATTTCATGCGCTTACGGCGGCGAGAACAGAGAAAGAAAACTATAATAGCTACAGAAATCTGTCTCAAATTAGAGCATCCTTGGTCGAGCTCCGTCTGGCCATCAAAGTATTCGGGACGGGTGTTGACAGGAGTAAGATTGTACAACTACACCGAAACGGCTATTCCAACGCTGATCGATACGATTTTAGAAATCACTCATGATCTGAGAAAGAATTTATGGACCAAGGTGACCTCATTAGGGAGGTCAGCAACTCAATCATGCCCTTAATGACGGTTTTCTTGCACGGAACGCTGGATTGTCAACGGCCATTCCCTTTAGAAAGAGTTGACCAAAGTAGAATCCTTGGGTTTGCGAAGGGCTTGCCATCTCTGCTGCGGCTGATCTAGAGTGGAATATTTGTCAACATGAGTTCTGACTGATCACTACCTTAGGTAGAGAAGCTTGGCAGGTGATATGAACCATAATGACCATATTCAGGGTTTTATGAAGTGACGAAAATATCATCTGTTATAATCTTTTCAGGAAATACTTATTACGCTTCCTAACACAACAATATAGGAACAAGTTCCAGCAGCCACTACGCGTTCCCTTCTCAAATGGCAAGGAAAGTACGCTGCTTGTTACCGCGATGGAGAACTTTCGGCTCTTATCGCTTTATTACAGACACGACGGCCACCCAAGCATATAACGACTGGGGACGTTCGTAAGAACGCCCAGATTTCAAATAATACATATGCGCCGAAAATATAGAAAGGGTCAATCAACCTTGAATTACAAACCACCATAGACTTCGCCTTCGCATCTCCTACCAACGGAGGCCCACTTCAGAACAGTCCACAGATCCGTCGCTATGGCGCATGTCTACGGGAGGTACAGTTCTGGCTCGATGGCAGAGTACCCCAAAAAGTGGATAAAGCAAAGGCCAAACAAACTTGACCCGATGGACGCGGGATATGCCACGGCCATGCAGTTTTTCCGCGAGAGTACTTTCATTTCCGATGGCATGAGACATACTTACTGGCACTCTATGAAGAATATAACATCACTGTCTGCGCAGTCCTCCGGTTGTGAACGTCGGTACGCGACAGGGTTCATGATATCTACCAGTGAAATTACATCTTATCATGCCTGCACAAGCTACTTAGGCCAGCTTCAGTGGGCGGCAGATGCAAAATACGATTATTCGTAGTCCGTAGTCCTGCTTAAAATGCGCGATCCTTTGCCACAAAAGTGTTAAGCCTCTTGGTTCGTCGCCGGGGTTGAACGATACTTTGGTCAGTATCTTCAATGTGCATGGCATAGGTGCTTCTTAGTGACGAATTATTGTTACAGAAAGCCTGTGGCGTCGGCCTGAACCCCCACCTCATTGCTTTTCCAGGTCGGACTTTGTACTCCCTGCCAGTGCTCTCGGGTCCAGTAAAACAGCTAGGCCGGACTCCGGCAGCTGGCAAATAAACTCAAAAATCTTTTGCATCAGTTCGTTTGGTCTTCAGGGTGGTCTGTGTCAAGGAGCTAGATGCGTTTCCACGGTCAGTGGATCTCAAGCTATCCCTCATTTCGCTCGACTCAAAATTAAGCGAGATCGGTGTTCCTTCTAGTCCCACTGATTATGGAAAGACGGCAGATGTCACTACAGTGTATCTTGATGGGGCATATGATGGAGGCGAGCCCGACAGACGATTTGGCTCTTGTATAATTACTTTCACCGCAGCCCAACGACTTTACAAGGAGTCGCCAATGCCATGACCGGAATAGGTGTGTAGGTGCACATGGCAGAAGACGGGCGAGTCTCCGTTTTCCGGTGAACAGAGTTGCCACAAGGCCGGCGTGGAGGGGAAGAGGGTGTTTATCATCCGATTCGTTCATACCCTATGCGAAGATTTAGCCAGAAGCGATCTGTGCACCTACGTGAGACTAATGTGCAAATTCTCCTAGACCAGAAGGTGACGGATTACAAATGGCCCAAAGCCAGGAAATCGATCTCGCTTATTCTATGATCAATACTATCCATCTGATGAGGGAGTCGAGGTTTTCCCAAATTCGATACAAGAATATATACCTAAAAAGCCATAAAATTTAAACCGCTTTGATACATGTCCTGATCACTTCACAGTCGCATTAGATTCGATTCCGCCTGCAATCTTCGCACACCCGTAAATGGCAGCGGCGGCATTGAAGGATATATTTCCGGTGGTAACTCCCGCACATTTCGCATTTAAATCGCCGCCTACCGGACCCAAAAATACGCTCAAAACGCCCCGGATGCTCACATTCGTGGACCTCTCGTAAATCCTGCTGCATTCGTGCGACACGGAGTTGGCGATCGTGGGGCCGTAGCACCTGGTTGGCTTCTCGATCCACAACTTCCTGGGCTCTCTCCTCTAGCCTTTGTTCGTCCCATCTCTGACAGGAGCAAGACTTCCATTTTGCACCACACAAGTAGCAAAACTGTGCTTTGCATTTACATCTAGTGATGCCGTCAGTTGTTATCATTAGAATATCGGGGTTAAGCGAGAAACACTCATTGGGACGTACGTTATATGATAGCAACCAATACCCAGTTCCACTAAACTCCGACAAGAAAAACAACGCTGCCAGCCTTTCGAATCGGCCAGTGCCAGGGTAGCTTGAAGAGCAGGATCTGCCGCACAGTCTTCCCGATGGAAAGAATCCTTACACATCGTGCAGGTTGAGAAGCCGCATGAAGCACAGTCCGCTCGGTCTGCTGTGATTCTAGACGGAGGTATGAACTGGCAGCATTCCATGTTACTACAATATGTCCTATCTGTAGTATTGTACTCAACTGCTGCCGCTTCAAACTGAGTTAACTCTTCTGCAGACATATGTCCCTGGATGAGAAGTAGAGGAATCAACACCCGACAGCATCTAGGTGGATAAAGTGATTCGTCCTTCGTAGCCCTAAGGAATAGATCCCTAAGGCAATCAACACAGTAAAGGTCAGAACATTCGAGGCGAATAGTTCTGTGTGGTAGAAAGTCGTTCAGGCAAACACAGCACTGGACTTCTGTTTTCATTTTCTGTATGGCCTCTGCCTGTCGCTGTGCATATGTTATCGAGGAGCCGGCCGCTTCATTACTCTCGACACTGTCATCTGTAGTTTTGAGCCGAGGCGTCAAGTTGCATTCTTCCTGGTCTGTTTTAGAACGGAGATATCCGGCCTGGGAATCTATTTCAAGACTCTCCAGTGGAGCATCGCTGGCGGCTGTCTCTCTCGCTAAACGTCCATCCTCCTGATCTTGCTTTTCTTGCTCTATGATGGCCGATATTGCGGGGCCATCCACCTCGACAGCTCGAGCAATACTATGCGCAAGCTTTCGGTCGCCCAGGAATACCTTATATGCTGTCAACTCGTCCGAGAAGACTAGAATGGCATTTTCATAGTCAGGAGGCGCGTCAGAGCGGTACTTTCCCTTATCGTTGTCATGATAAATTTCTATTTCCGCAAGCTGCACTGCCAGAGCCAAATCTTCGTCGTCCAAGTCCCTGGTAAAGAGTAGGATAGGAAGATATATAGGGAAGCAAAAAACGTTTGGGTTGCTCCAAGGACTATGGGAGATTATAATAATTAGTTCCCCTTTGATTGGTAAAGCCTACAGCTCGTATTGTGTCTGAGACACCTTCCGTGCCCCACGATTCTCTAAAGGGTACTCAAATGGTAACACACCTTAAACAACTCGCCATTATGATCTTCATTTCTTCGGGCTTATATTTTGGTGATATGAGACTGGCTTCTACTCTAAGTCAGTATGGCAGTAATAACAGCAAAAACCTACGTCCCTGCCGCAACATGTATTAGTCAATACCACAAAACAGAAACTGACTGATCCTCAGTTTTCACTTGCGTATACGCCTATACAAAAACTAGGAAACCTGCAATCTCGAGCAGAGAGTTCCGTTAGCTCAAATCTGATTCTACCATAACTGTCAGTTTTAATGTCCCCAGGAGCTTAAATGCATGTTTAAAGCACATGTGTATCCAAGTAATTATGTTTTAGACGCCATCGAGAACACGGACGGGGATGATTACAACATACTCACCCATACCAGTACGCCAGAATCAGACAATGGCTTGGAACTTCCTATGTACTCGAGCCTTGACCGACTCACATGGCCCTGGAAAGAAAAAACGTTTATAATCTGTCATCCAGAAACATAATGTGCCGTGGTGGTGGAGAGCAAGAAAGGGGTAGCATCGTAGGAGATCATGCAGTTTAAAACTGTACCAACGCATTCAACCATCGTCCAAAATTTGTAAGCGGTCCTTAGACACTGTCCTTAATTTGTTGCTTATGACACTACTCTAGCCTTTATATCTATAGGAGTCCGGTCAAAAGTCACGTGGTCTTCGGGCTACAAGTCGTTTCGTGTCAATACATTCACACGCCTTTTAGCCTTAGGCAACAACTTTACGAGGAGAAGGCGTGGCGAGCATCTGGCAAATTGGTATTCCAAACGTGAACTAGGAACCTAGACCGGAGCTAAAACGTGCATTCCAGTTTTCTGCCAAATCTGGCGGCAATGCACTGCGAGCAACTCCACCGGGAATTCGCAGATTGAGAAATTTCTCATCCTCACCATGCTCAAGTTCAAGTTTTCGATCCTCCGTGCTCCGGGCGAAGGATATAATCATCTGCAGTAAAGAGGCAAATCGCCGTAAATCCGGCTGTTGAGATTGCTCCCACTGTTTGATTTCCTGTCGCACGTCCTGAACTCGGATATCATCGAACTTCCCGGACCTGTGGTAAGCGAGCACAAAGTTAGGAATCTGTCTGATCCATAACCGGCCCATCTGTTCTGAAAGGGTGTCGAAGTCGGCTTTTCTAGCTGAACGTGTTTTCAGGTCAAATATTGCACATTGTGGAATATAGCGACCCCTCTTGAGGATTCTGAGTGGACTTGGTTCCTGTTCAGGGATGGCTGAGTGAACGGTCGATATCGTAGCTGCTTGCATAGATGACAAGATGTCTTCAGGGCCCACATAATCTTTGTTGGAGATAGGGTCCTTCTGGATCTTCAAATGCTCTGGGATTAAGTCAGGAAGGTAACCGTCAGATTCAAACCGTACTAAGCATTTCATGTTGGCAAAGTCAAAGGTGATAAGACGTTGATGAGACTCTGAATTCCGAATGTTTTCACCCCACGTTGTGTATGCCTCTGGAAAAGTGTGTCCAAACCCTCGGACATTCTGGATGGTTTCGGTGGGTGAATTTTCCCTTCTGCTGAAGAAGACTGTGTCCCCAATGACCTCGATAAGCATTCTAAATGCGGGTCCCTTGCCGCACGCGAACCTCAGCAGATTTCCCAGTGTGCTTCCACAACCCACAACATCCAAATCCTCGACACAAAAATCCCGGTTGTCTATCAGTACGGCTCGAACCATCGGCTCTAACGGATATGTGGGATGCCGTGCCGAGTTTAAATCACGAAAGTAGACACCGGAGTCCTCACGCAACTGAGTTGGTTCAGAAAGTGGCGTCCATGCTGGGGGTTCACCTGACGGAAGACATTGAGTTAAGGAGAGTATTCGGGTTTCTGGCGAGGGTCATTCACCTGGAACGATGATCTCGTGTTCTCCACTGACCCAGTTATAGGAAGTCAAATACTGCATATTGCTAATTTGGACAGGGTCATAAGATTGAGTTGTGCAATCTTCAAGTTCATGATGTTCGATTGTTGCAAGGACCTCACCCAGCGGTGGGGTTGGAATCGGAGGAACTGGTGACCTCCCACCCTTGCCCTCTATCCACTCACCTTTATTTCTTCCCCGAAATGAGTGATGAGCTCTCCTTCGGAAGGCCATTTTTTTGGGTGGAAGATAAGTGAATTTGTTCGACGCAACAGAGCGGGCGACCGAGAGATCAGAACAGAACTAATTCGGTAGATGGCAAAAGGTCGGCGAGGGAAAAAGGAAGATCAAGATTGCGATGATGGTGATGATTTCCTTGCAATATAAATACCTTTTTACAGTGCTGATGGTATTGGCAGTCAGCAACTGGGTTTATTGCAATTGTGTCACGTCGCCACGTCATGCCCTTGTTACAGATTGGTTCAGCCGGCCTCGCTTTATCGCAATTGCGCGGGTGGCGTAGGTGGGCACCGCTGCCTGGTAGCCAGTTACCCCTCAGTGAAAGCCAGGGAGGTACTGGTATTACCCCTCACTTTGTACCTGTACACCTTGCTGTGCTTTAAAGGCTGAGCAAGGCGAACTCCGACAGCGGCAACCTGCATGGCTCGAATCACTTCAAAGCATGTACGTTTGTGAGGTTACTTAGGTAGGTGGTGATCGTCGAAATATGAAAGTAGAAATGTCTTCTTGACCCCGTTGTGGCCTGCGTCTTATGAGATACTGACATTGAGCATGTGATAGCAATCTACGCATCTAGTTATCTTTCGGCCACGAATAGTCATCTGTCAGCGCTAACGCAGTGCAGTGGGCCTTGAAAGGGACAAGCCAAGGAATGGCATTAGAGAGGGGCGGGCAGCAACCTCTATTACCAATTTATTGACACTTGTGTGGATGTTCGGTGATTTATGCCCTTCCAGTTGGAGTGAATTTGGCGGAAGATCGTTTATAACACCATCATAGTATATGCACAGAGTGGTTGGCAGCCTCACGTTGTCCGGAGAGTATAGCGGATTTCCAGAATCGGTCTAGTGTTATTGCTCTATTGGCAGGAACGCGAACATTAAATAGCGGATCTTGATTTACAGCTTAAGACAGTACCTACCGGAATGCAAGTATATGACGCGCTGGATATGCGACAGGACGATAGTATGGGTTCTTTAGATGCAACATAAAACAATCGTGTGCAATGCCGCCACCTGAATCTGTCCCCAACTAGAACACTGTTCAGTGTGTTATTTAACTGGTACGCTGAAATAAACCAGCAGGTGCGACACAAGGGATAAGGAGAAAGATGCTACGGCTTGTCGTACGTTTTGCTTTGCAGAGGGCTTTAATTTCGAGAAGGAACAAAGGTCTTTGTAGCATTAATCTCAACGAATCGACATGATGTAGAGTGCGACACACGGTCCGAGAGCTCTAAATGTGAGTAGCCATTGTTGTCCCATATACTGTGTCTAATTGACGTGCGGAGAATGAATGAAGGGAAGTAAACCCATTTCCTCAAACAACACAAAGGAAAACACAGGAACGGCAGCTATAGGGCCGACAAAAGTGATCCGATAGAGCCGTGCCTGTAACGACAGGCTACAGAGACATAACGCTTCTACCGCCGTCCGAGGTTAACCTTTGCCGAATTTTAACAAGCAAGTTGCCATGCCCCAAGCGAATGAAATCCAGTCGACCATGGCCCTGCACTGTAGCCCCAATAATGGCACTTGGTGCAAATACAAGAGCCTCTCCTACGGAGAGTCCGACAATCTCATTGAAAAGAGAGGACGTCTTTGCAGATATCCCATCAGCTTTCAATTCTGTCTGTGCAGTAGACGGACCTTGCGCTGCTCCAGCTAAATGCTTTTGCAGGGATCGCAACCATTCTGGCGATGTGAAACGGTGCACAATAGTTACCGAGCAAAGATTTAGCAAAGATGTAGAAATCGTCGGTTCTTGCGTTGAGATTATCATACGAACTCCAAGGTGCCGTTGAAGTCGTACTGCGGACAAAAGTGTGTCTGTAAATCCACGGGCTTCAATGGAGTTGTTCATGTACTTAAATGATATGTGAGATCTTCGGGTGAATTTAAAGATTTGCAGGGAATTCAAACCTTATGAGCCTCGTCCAAGGCCACCACCCTTCCGACTCTTGCTTCCTGCTCAAGAAACAGGCCAAGGCAAATATTGAATAAAGAACATGCTGTATCAGGCGATATACAGGGACACGAGAGATCGACAATTGTCAATTGACGCGCCTGATTCCGGGATTAGTATATTGTGGCCTCATGATAAAGCGTTCAACTGACCTTTGATGTCCAGTCCGAGCCCCTCTGATGAGCCTTTTTCCCCTTTTTGCCGGTATTCGCTGATTGGCTAGGAGGCATAAAACTCTCAAGTGTCTCAAGCCGCTGACTGAGGGGATCTAATTGAGAGGGTGTTAGATTAGAAGAAAGAAGGCTCCGTTTGAACGTTTGGTAATCAAATCCGGCCCCGGACTCCTGTTGAATCATGCGCATATCACGTAGTATGCGTTTAACGGTATGCATATACAGCGGCATTGGTCCATCATCCTGCCCAACAGCCATAAGCTCCAGCATCCGCTTTGTGTTGAGACTTTCCTGGTCAATACGCAACGGTTCGACCGATATGTTGAATCTGGAATACGTGCCCTGCTTAGTGAGTTAGCACACATCGAAGATGTGATACATATCTTAGTAAATCTCACCCGGATAGTATGGATGTTTGTAGGGGCGCATAGAACTCGCACGTTAATTTGGGGATGCGTGGACAGAAAGGCTGCCTCACAAGGTGACCCCATACTATCGCTGATAAATGTATCGTAGTGAAACACCACTCCGGTAAGCGGACTGGGGAGATGTCCAGCTATCGAAGGTATCAAGCAGTTCTCCAGCATGCAGGATAGGGTGTGACTTTTACCCGAGCCCTGAGAGCCACAAATGAACGTGCTCGATGGAGGGCTGACATTGAAAAAAAGACGACAATCGTTGGCGGGAATGGTGGCGAGGCGATTGGGAATGTCACTGTGAACCCCTGCCAGCAGTCCGAATTGGGTGATACTAGGCGTCTCATCTGGATGATTCTGCACAAAAGCACAGCTTGTTACCAGGGGTGCGAGAGAGCTTTCGGTGCTCCCCTGACCTGTTGTGGCTGGCTCCAAAAGGCTCAGGTGAGATTGAAGAGCTTCGTCGCTAAAAACGGAATATTGACTGATAGATCCCATGTTGGCTAAGGGATGATGTACTGTGGCGTTGTTGAAAATAATTGTGATCGATGCTACACTCAAATTACTGAAGAAATCATGGCTTCTGTGGGTGGAGGATCGATTATATACCTAATTTTCCTCGTTGCCGGCAATCGCACTACTGAACACAAGCAAGGGAGAAAGAAAGGGCAAAAACTGTCCTAGCAAGAGTAAGGAAAAGGCAATCGTTCGCATAAGTGTTGCATAAATGTTACAAACAAGTAATACGTGTATCCTTTGCCAGCTGATGTGGCAAATACGTCTCGCCGGGAAGGGGGGATTTGAGGTATATGGACATAGGGCTACACAAAGATCATAGGCACACCATCAATGAGATGCTAGACCGGGGCCTGGCATGAGAGCATCTAGAGATTTCAGTTGGTTTAAGAAACCCCAAAGGTTGTTTAAAGCAAAAGCAATCTCCCACTTATCTCGTGGACTTTTGCTCCCATCAAGTCTTTGCGATTAGCGACTCACATTAACCCACCAGTTAAAGGATCATGGAATACCAGAAAGCATAACAACAAACATCAACAGTGGGTCTTTGCGCGGCAGGCTAAGTTCCTCCTAGAAGGTGTACGTAATGCCGCAAAAGTAGTACCTCTGCCAATCTATTCAGATGCTTACGAGCTGCTTAAATTATACTAATAAGGAAACCCAAGATTCATTCAGCAACAGTCGGGTAGCGAGTCAGCACACGAGAGGAGCAAAATCCTGGACAGTTGTTGTTGGAACAATTTCGCCAGCCCCCTTTCCTGATTGTGTTTCCACAAAGCATGTTCGTTGAAGTTACATTGGCAAAGGACTTTCTCCACATTGAATTAAATAAAATAGAGATGGTGAACCTTTCGCCAGTCCTAAAATTCTACCTGGATCAACTGTTTTTAAAGAAAATGGTTGATAGAACCACAGTGTATCGCGCAATAGAGCCAGCAACAATGGCCAAATCGATTTACTAATTTCCCGAAAGATATTATCTTGTGAGTCGTTGAAAAGCTCAACAAAATCTTTAAACGTATTTTTGTTTGGGTCCAAAAGCCTACGAGCGTCAGAATCGCAGACTTTCACGAGCGAATATTATCTATCTGCTATCTGCAGCAACCATAGTGTTATTCCTCGTCTTTAGATCGAACATGAGCCCCAATATCCCCTCTCTAATTATTCTCACGAGCAGATGCAGTCTTTTACTGAGCTTTCATATCTGCTTGATATAACGCAATTTAGAACTATATTCACTAAAATTAACTAATATCTCCAGAAAACATTCATGTACCATATCTTTAGCCACGCGTGCATTCTCTTTGTATATAGGATTTCCGCGAGTTTGTTCGAGTCCGCCAAAAGTGACTGATATAGTATTCAAATGCCCACTAGACAAAAGAATATCACAATTATCACAACTTTTAAAAAGTTCAAAAATGTGATACTATCGAGAAAGCTGACTGCCCGCAAATTTTTTATCAAAAGCGAAGATCAGCCATAATCGCCCTCCAATCAAAAGCTCATCTTCTAACAAAAATGAATAATCGATATTCTCGGCTCTTTCATTGCATGCGATCCTATAGAGGACTACAATCTGCTAGATCTTCTCTATTTTCAAAAAAAGTGTGACAAGGAATTTGTTTTTAAGCTCAGCAAGCCTATGTTAGATCTCTGGACGCAAAGCTTTATCAATAGATGGCTTATAATCGTCATTTATACACTTTTGTTTCTCTCGCGCCAGAAAGTT